TAAGGCCGAGAAAGTTTGAAAATTTTGCGCATGCGCTTTTGAAAAATTTTCATGTTGAGCCACCTCGAGTCTTTTCCAAAAAGGTAACCCTTGCAAGAGTTGTGCTTAAGGACCTTGAGAATGTGAAGCTTCCGCGCCGCCTCGCATCTCAGAGCAAGCCACATCATGGTCACGCATGCTGCATGCAGTGCAGTCCTTCATGAGAAGTTCATGCAAGAAATGTGGCTTCAGTTGCAAAAATTTAAGACTCGCCCACCCGTCCCTAAGATAAGCTTGGGGTAAGGTTCCTTGCTTAGTAGCTTACAGTGTTGCACGGCAGCCTTGCCTGTGCACCTTCTTGAGAAGCACGCACCCGCAGTGCGCCTTGACGACGAGCTCAGCAGAGAAACTCCTCTTCTTAAAAGACTTGTGAGCCGACAGAGCTCTTGCTGCTTTGGCCTTTCTTGTGTGCTAGCCCCAATGGCTTCCAGCAGTGTGCTTGGCTTGAATGGCCTTGCTGGCATCAGGATCCTTTCACCGAAAGAGACCTGATGCACGAATCCCTTTGGCACCAGCGAGAAAAACGAAGGAAGCTGTCCGAGAGTCTTGCTTAGGGTTGGAGTGTGTTGCAGTGCGCGGCAAACCCTGCCTCCCTAAACCCTAACCTGCAGCAGTTTTGGCTCGAGGTGGCTCAACTTTACGAGGACTTAATCGCATTTGACATGAAGGCTAACCGTGATGCGGGCAAGTCCCGCAGCCTGCTGATGAAGGCGTGGGACCTTCGTGAGGCATACAAAAATCTGCCGCTCCATGAATCATCTCTTCATGAGAGCTACCTGTGCGTTTACGACCCAAGCTCCCAGACGACGCAAATCTTCGGACAATTTGTCTTGCCCTTCGGGGCGCGATCCAGCGTCCATGGATTTTGTAGAGTTTCAGCAGCCTTATGGCTGGCTGGAGTCAGCATGCTGCGGCTGCACTGGTATTCATACTTCGACGACTTCCCAACCATTGAGTCTGAGCATACCTGCCCCATCGCACAAATGGGTGTTGACTTTTTGTTCACGCTTCTAGGATGGGACATCCTCAGAGAAAGACTCCCCTTTCGCCAGTGTGTGTAAGATCCTAGGCCTCGAGTACAATCTTGAAGAGACCAAGCTTGGGACCCTAGTCATCAAGAATACGGCGAAAAGGGTTGAGGATATATCATCCGAGATAGACAAGTGTCTTGAAAGCAACTTTCTTTCTGCGAAGGATGGCGAGCGGCTCAGAGGCCGCCTCAACTTCATGGATGGCCAACTGTTCGGCAAGCTCTCCCAGCACGCCTTCCGGGGATTGACCAGACACGTCCTTGCGGGGGGCGGGAAGCTTGGCTCATCGACCAGAGCACACTTGCAGTTCCTTAGGGACAGAATGTCCAAAGGCAGGCCCCGGCGAGTTTCCACAGCCTTACATGAGACGATGCACATATTCGTGGACGCCTGCCATGAGCCGGGCTCTACTGAACCAGCTGGGCTCGGAGGCATCTTGCTTGACAGCTCTGGTCGGTACCGAGAGTACTACTCCGAGATGCTTGATGAATCGGCCCTTGCAGCCATCAATGTTAGGATGAGTGGGAATCCTATCTTCGAGCTTGAGTGCCTGGCCATCTTGTGCGCCCTCCACTTGTGGCACTCGTACCTTTCTGGCAAGCACCTCGTTGTTTACACTGACAACAATGGTGCTCTGGGTTCGATGATTAAGGGTCACTCAGAAAATCTTGAAGGCGACGCCATCGTGAGGCTAGTCCACACGATTCTTGATCTTTCTGATTGCATAGTGTGGTTCGAGAGAGTTTGCTCCTCGAGCAACGTTGCGGATGAACCTTCCCGTGGTGTGCTCCGTCCGTCGTGGGGCGAGAGAAAGAGGTGCGATCCCTCTGACGTGTTTGCACTTGCCATTAGATAGTGGCTCCTCTCTCCTTGGGCGCGGGGTGTGAAAGGACAGAGTTCGCCGAGATGGCATGACAGAGCTGTTCACTGAACCCCACGCGTTCCTAGGAAGAAAAAAGAAGGCCACCGCTGTCCGACTTCGCTTTCTGCTGTGTTCTGACTATTTGGAATATTTCATAAATTATA